CACACCTAGGCCGGCCCGGGCAAGAGCTTGGTCACATGACGCCTCCCTCCGCGTCACGTGACCCTGCCGCCAGTCTGTCTGCTGCAGCCCTGCAGCCCAGATGGCAGAGTCTTGTCTGCCTCCTGTTGAGCTGCTTGCTAGAAGGATCTGAAGCTCCGGGGAGAGAGAGAGAACTGGCTTTGGAGTCAGAACTTCCAGCCCCAAGCCTGGACCTTGCTCTGCAGGAGCGCTTGACTGGCGAGGAATGCTCGGTGGGATTTTGGACACGAACTGATTTTCAATATTTTGCGTAATACTCGGGTGTCATACTAAAACACACACACGCACACGCCATCTGTCTAGCAACATACTGATAGGGAAAACATTTTAAAGAATTATTTTGTTTAATTTTTTTTTTTTTAATTTCACCAGAGAGGGACAGAGTGAGAAAGAGAGAGAATGGGAAAGTGAGAAAGCAAGCTGCCAGGTCTAGGACTCAAACCCTGGTCAGCCATGTGGGTGTCCAGTGCCCCTAACCATTACACCACCTGCTGGTCCCAGTAAGGAAAACATTTAAGCTCAGTTCCCAACACCAGGATACCTGTTAACATTTGCAGTTTGTGAAGGGAGAAAAAACTAACACTGTCTTACTTTCAAAAACCTTTAGGGGGAACCAGCAGTTAGCGTGATGGCTATGTCGCTGGACTCCCACGTAGTCGACCGCGGTTCGTGTCCCGGACCCGGTGGCTTAAAACTCACGCCGGGCGCGTGTGCGTGCGTGCCCAAGATCCCGAGAGGAGAATGGAGGAGAAGGGATTGCGGCGTGACCATCCCCCCTGGGGGGTGATTTCTCGCTTTCTGTCTCTATGTCTCTCTCTGTCTGTCTGGCGAGCGCACGCGCCCTACAGTGAAAATCTCTCCAAAAAAAAAAAAAAACTTTTACATGCTAGACCCAGGTGGGGACAAAGCATGTTGCACTGTCAGGAAGTTTACACAAAAGTTGAATAAAGCACATACTGGTTACTGGATATTATCTCAGTGCAGTGCTTGGATCACTTTCTACTGATTAGACTATTTTTTATTTATTTATTTTTATTATTATTTTAAGTTTGTTATAGGGCATGCGTGATCACCAGAGAGACAGAGAAAATAACAAACCAAGTCACAAGTACAGGACTCGAACCATACGTAGCCATAAGTGAGTTCAGCACCGTAACCACTACTCCACTTGCTGGCCCTGATTTAGCTGATTTTAAACTCTGTAGTGGTTGTTGTTAACTTGTAAATGTTTTATGCAAAAGACACGTAGATGATTCTGTTTAGTGAAACAGATTACCTTAAATTTTACAACTTATTGCCCTACAAGATATTAACCAGTTTTATATTTAACCCAGCAATGTTATTCTAACATTTATTAACTTCCTATATGAGTATAAAATTTAACATACACATATCTTATGTTTATAATATATCTTTAAATGGTACATATAGTATACATACATGTGTACTTTAACCATTCTTCTTAGTAGTTCACTGTGTTGAAAAAATCTTTCAGCCTTTTGGCTGGAATCGCCATCTTCCAGTAATTAACCAACATGATGAACACAAAG